TTCTTATGATAGTCCACCATGTTCTGTTTTCCTTTCGAACTTGTTTCATGTACTTTTTTTATCGCACTGTTAACGATCTTATTGTCAGGATTGATTATTCTATGATTATGATTATAACTTTAAGTACAGCCTGCGGATATTTGGCACTATCTGTCATCACGACGAGGAGAGTACAGCTGACCTATCGACTATGCTCATTCGTCAGCACAGCAACTTCTACAAAGTTCAAGGTTTTCTTTTCAAAAGATTCACAGTTTTTAGCTACTATTTGGCATTTATTGCAAATATTGCCTTCGCCAAAATCAGGTGAAAAAAGTGAGCATGTTACGATATGATTTTGTAGATCTTTTGTTCGAGTTCTCGCTGACATTTATCGCATTTGGGACAACAAAAAATAGGTCAAGGTCAAAGACAATACCTTTTTATGAAATTAAGAGTCTTATTCATCAGCAGTCTACGAGGAAAGAATATTAACATTGGTCTGCAGGTCAAGATGAAACGACGATTGGGAATTTATCAACAAAAGTGGATTTGATTAAACAAAGTCCCATTTTGCTGTCTTTCAGACAACTCTGATACATTAATTTTATTTTATTATAATATATTCTTTTGATACAGAGTGTATCATAATAGCTACAGATTTTCGTATGCAAGAATGTCGCTTGAAGATACAACTAAATTCGCTTCAGAATCAAACAAATCCGAATGGAATAAGTCAAAATTATCTCTAAGCTTTCTGTAAAACAAATGCTTGCTTCTATGATGTTGAAATTAACATTTTTTTTCCAGGTACTGCCATCCTGTTCTAAAAGCTCTCGAGCCATAATTAGCAAAATATATGAATTTATAAATATCTAGAGCAGCTACAAGTGATGTTTGATCTATATAAATGAGACGTAATAATTAGGAAGGCTGATAGCAAAAGGTATATCCGTTTGACACACCTCGTGACAAGTTGTTCCAAACAATATACAGTAACTAAACATTAAAATAAATCATCATGCCAAAAGCCGTAACCACCTGCCACAAGATGCTGTAATTTGTGTTTGTCTGTTCCTGTTTCTTTTTCTTTATAACTTGAACCTTTTGAAAACCGAAATAACTCAACAAATTGTAATTTTGTTTACGAGTCGTGATTCTTTGCACATTTTATGAGTAATAATGCCGTAATTATACTGTCCTTAAATATCGGTTTGAAAGGTGAATTTGCTGAAAGGTATTATTAAAATAAGTTTTCCATTTTCTCTTTGAAGTTAATGCTACCTTATTAAGACGCCAGTGCTCGGGATCAAAGAACTGCTTCCCTGTTCATTAAGCACAGCGCTGCAATGAATTTAGAGCAATTCTGTCTGACGCTATTCCATACTAGCTGCGCCAAAAATAATTGCATTTTTTCTGTGATTCTTAGAAAATAAGGGAAGGAATAACACAGACGGTCAGGATTGATTTGTTGGCATTCTTTGGATCAATACAAATTGTTTCATGAGCTTGTAACGTAAACAGAGCTATTTATGTTCTGGTTTATGATACATTTTGTCATTTAAAAAAATGGCTGACAGCGTCCTTGACGAACGTGAAAATCGCGAAGGTAATTATTTTGGTTCAATTTGCTGTGAACATGGTGTAATGCTAGCAGATTCAAAATTTATTTGTTACCTGTAAAAGAATAAAAAGTAAGAATTCGTGACCTGATCTTTTAATAAAAATATATGCACTTTGCTCAATTCTTGTTTTTCTTTTATTACGCAGCAAATTCAAGAGCCAAACGACTCACCTTGATACACGCATTTATGAGATGCAAGTTTTGCACATAGTATTGATACAAGTAAAATAATTCCTCTTAACGACCCAGCTCTATATTCAGATTTTTATGTACAGCAGCTCAATGTAACCGATAGATCAGCAATGATATATGTTAACAACTTTGATGATTAAATAGTAACCTCTGATAGGTTGCAGCTTTATTGTCATCGCAGGGTCTGCAAATGAAACATGATTTCAAAAGTCGTGGTTAATTTGGGCACACGATGCAGCCATTCATCCAGCAGAAAAACAAATCTTCGATGAAAATAAATAGATTTCATTACCTTTACAAAAAGGGATTGTACTTTAGAAAAGTACAATGATAGTACGCGCGCGCGCGCACGTGTGTGTGTGTGTGTGTTGTGGATTTTTAACAATTTTTCAGTCATATCGCTACGATATCTGCAGTGTTGCAGTTTATAGTGATGTTTACCACTGGGGCATAATGCCGCAAACATTTAGTATCATGTTCCACCCAGTCTAATTATCCTGACCCCAGGCCGACCAGTCATAACACTAACCTCTCAATGCTCCTAGTAAGGAAGCTGTTAGTAACATTTTTATAAGTCTTTGGTATGACTCAGCTGAGAATCGAACCAGCGGCCTCACGTATCCGAGGAAGACACTCTAACCACTAGGCCACCGGAGTGGTCGAGGTAGTACGTAAGAGTTTATGTGAACGAAGAGGTTATGTTGCATGACTTGCCTTGAAGGGAACTTGCTTTTAGCAAATTATTTTGTATATAAAATGATGGTAATATTTAGTATATGATAGAAAAGTCTTATATTATGCAATGGACAGAAAAGTCTTATAATTGGTAGAGGACAGAAAAGTTTTATAATTGGTATAAAACAGAAAATTTTATAATTGGTATGAAACAGAAAAGTCTTGGGTTAAGTAGCTCATACGAGAAAGTTTCATAATCGTATAAAAGAATGTATAATAGAAACAGAAGCACAAGGAAAAACGTAATTACAAAAGGGAGAGGTAACGATTACATACGTTGCATTTTAAGTAAATAGATATTTCTTAAAGAACGAAGTGATGAAATAAAGCTGAATGGAAGAATTTAGGTATATCAGCATAAATAATAATTGGAGGCGAAGATGAAATATGTCTATTATATATGAAAAATAAAAACTGGAGAGATTCCGATTTCTCAATTTTAGCATATATTAATACTAATTTACGTACGGTTGTTAAATGTTTAACAGTTATGGTTCGTCAACTAAATATAACAAAACCCAGATATTCGTACTGTTCTTTCATTAATGAAAATACTTAATTCAGAAGCAGTAATAGCAAATAAACATTTAAGTTGCTTTATGATAATAGCTGTAAAACATCTAATGATGTTTATTTGTTTAGTTAATACCTTGCAAAAAGAATCATACTGCACAAACACGTTACCAGTATCTAAATGTATGAACAAGCATAGCTTTGACATACAAATCTTAATCGATCCAGCTTTCCAATTTAGACGGCTTCAAAAATTTGCAAGGTTTTTCATTTAAGACAACTGCCATTAATTCGGAAATGGAACGTCTGTTAAAAATTACATACTAGATTCACCGTCCGGATATTATCTATACAATGACCTGAATGCTATGATTTTATGTTGAAATTGACTGGTGTTTGGTTACATTTGTTATGGATGACGGATGTGAATCACATAAATGGTTTGATTGCACTGAACGCAATCTAACGAATTGTGCATACAATAGTTAGGGTATTATATATATATAGTAAAATTCAGATACAAATTAATATTCCTAAAATACAAAGTGAACATTGAATAAGAACGTACAGTAATGTGAATTAAATCCCAGTTAGTCGTAAAAGTTCTATCATAAGTCCAAATATATGAAGTTCGAATTAAATTCTGGTGGTATTCCAAAATAATGCCGATAGTGAATGTGTTGATGTGCATTGTTATTGAAAGTGCTAATATTCCAAAAGTCTGGTGTGTGATGATGATGTGCTAACAGTTTACTGATATTTTGCAATAATATAATACGAAGATGTTCTTGTATGAATCCACTATAATTCCAGATTAATGTTCGAGTCTAACGATATTACTGATCACTTTGTAATTCCAGTGAATAATAATTTGAATGAATAAATCCATCAAAACTAAAAAAGAAGGCAACATTAAGGATTATTCTGCTTCAGTTGTAGGCAACAATTAGTAATTTTAAAGTACACAACTTTACGTGAAAAGCTTAGACACAGTAACAGAGCCAGGATGTAGATCAGTCTCTTCAAAGTTGTCAGCATGTTTAGGAATTGCCAAATGAAAATCTCAGTGTCATAGACTCAGATTCATATAAACATGTTTGCCATTAACAATAATCTGAATACTGAATTCACACTCAGAGAGAAATATTGCCTATGTATTATAAATTCATATTACTGGTCATGTACACCATGACCTTGATGTTGGATAACGTCAAGTGCAAAAGACGGATGAACATAAATATAATCATTAAGAAAATAGTTAAATTGTCAAACAATAAAATTTATCCAAATAATTTTTTTGCTACACTGCCAGTACAGTGAAACGCGTGTTTTGTGTTGATTATAATATCCCATCTCACTGAATATTTAGATTTTATTTGCACTGTAAGTTAGAAAATGTCAAATCATTTGGTTCAAAAACCAGGGGCTTTACGAAGCATTTAGTCATCTTTATCAGTCATTTAGAATAAAAATCCAGGGCTAATTACATCAACCAGTTACGATGGATCCCATAAAGCTACATGAGATCTTAAAGGTGTTTAAATCCATTACACATTACTTGAGCACTACTCACTAAAAACCTATACAAAAAAAAAAAACGAGTCTGATTAGTGACGGAGAATTCAACTTGAACAAACTAGCAATATTATGTAGGGACTGGTTTCTACGTCAAAGTTACCTGTACAGTTGCATACTTTGTAACAAATGAGTCACATCACAATGAACTCCAACACCACAATTAATTAGTTTCTTTACCTGTTTGGTTTTTTGTTTTCTGTTGCTTTAACAATTTTAGCCTCTACGATGTCTGCAGTGTGGCAGTGTATCGTGATGTCTAGCAGTAGGGCATCGTGCCGCAGACATGTGGCATCATGTCACATTATCTTCATCCTAACACTAACCTCTTGCAGATTGCCAAGCGAAGCAGCTATTGTACCATTTTTCTAAGTCTTTAGTATGACTCAGCCGGGTTAGAACCCGCGACCTCCCGCATCTGAGACGGATGTTCTAACCACTTGGACCACCGGAGCGGTTGTCCCACTAATCAGTAAAGTGTGAAATATAGGTCGCAGTGATTCGAAGTAATATGAAACGATTATTCTGTAGATGGCCTTTTTAAGAGTACAGACATGTAGTTCTCGTTTCCTTCTTTAAAAAAAAAACAAACAACAGAAGAAAAAACAACAAACAAGAATAGACCTAGGGAGAGATGTGTGAATTGTAGTAACTGCCACGATTGCGAACCATTAAAATTGTAATTACTCAGTATTTATTTAATTTTTAATTTATTGAATATTTTGCAAAAGCTATTCAGACAGTCTTTCGTATTGGTTTAAATGTATTCAAATAAAACGTGAAATTAAATTTAAATTACTTACTGTTCCTTATGTTGATGCTTTGCATGTTATCAGCCATTTTATATGCAAGACTTTGATATACGAAGAATTGAACTTCATACTTCTCTTTGCCAATTTGCAAACTATTAGAGATCAACCCGACCACACAATTTCAGTTGACTCGTCATCACTGCATTCAAGGAAAATCTTTATCAGCCATTCAGTCTATCGATATGAATTTCTTATGTACAACTCTGATGTTGTGTTGTCTCATTAAAAGTGCTCTAAAATTCACCTATTTAGACTGCAAGAACAGATTACGACGTAACGTTCCTACATTTACTATTTCAGCAAGCTTCTGTATGTAATTTGACGGTGTTTAATTTTTTTATACATTCATATATATATATATATATATATATATATATATATATATATATATATATATATATATATATATATATATATATATATATATATATATATATATATATATATGCAATAAACTGACGACGAACAGTACGAAACTAGTCACTAACTAGCCTAAGCGCTTTCGACTCTTAATGAGTCTTTTTCAAAGGCAAATACAAAACATATATACGACAAACAAATAAACACAAAAACGTTGTGTTTGTAAACCTCTACATGGCTGTCTTCACATGTGATAAAACTATAAATACAACCAACTAGTTGCGGTAACTGAAAACGTTGTATAATTCCCTAAAAGTCTACAAGCCAAAGCGACATCTATTTTTACTTTTTGTACATATGTAACGCAGATTATATCTCGGATATTTGATTCTATACCGGTTATTCTTATAGTAAAAATTGAAGGATAATAAGAAGATCTAGAAAATGTTAAATTCTACTAGTGCATAGTTTTCATTTTCTAGTCTTCTTGGTTTAGACCGCTTGGTTTCAATGTTCTAACCAACCGTGCAATCATCAGACATACTAAACCTAATACTTCCGAACAAACCTGTAGTAGTTACCGGAGACCAAAAAACCTAAAGGACATCCTAGTCAGGGCAAAGCTAACGCCAGTCGCTAGTCAAAACCAACCTAGTCAATCTGGACCCTGTGGCGATAAAAGATGCAAGACCTGTCAACATATGATAGAGACCAAGACATTCACTAGCACAGTGACTAAAGAAAAACTAAACATACATGGTCCAAACAAAACGTGCAAAACAGAGAATGTGATTTATCTCATCACATGTAAGATCTGTGGCCTTCAGTACGTCGGAGAAACTGAAAAGCTACACAAAAGGATAAACCTTCATAGATCTCATTGAATAGCAAAAAAAGCTGTACAGAAGCCCAGTCGAAGAACACTTCCCTGGCCACACTTTCAGTGATATAATACTTATCGCTATTGCTAACAACCACAGCTGGAGTTCCGAAACCTGGATGGAAAAGGAATCATACTGGATACGCCGCCTTATAACATTGAAACCAAGCGGTCTAAACCAAGAAGACTAGAAAATGAAAACTATGCACTAGTAGAATTTAACATTTTCTAAATCTTCTTATTATCCTTCAATTTTTACTATAAGAATAACCGGTATAGAATCAAATATCCGGGATATAATCTGCGTTACATATATACAAAAAGTAAAAATAGATGTCGCTTTGGCTTGTAGACTTTTAGGGAATTATACAACGTTTTCAGTTACTGCAACTAGTCTATACAAGCTGTTGTATTTATAGTTTTATCACATGTGAAGACAGCCATGTAGAGGTTTACAAACACAACGTTTTTGTGTTTATTTGTTTGTCGTATATATGTTTTGTATTTGCCTTTGAAAAAGACTCATTAAGAGTCGAAAGCGCTTAGGCTAGTTAGTGACTAGTTTCGTATTGTTCGTCGTCCGTTTATTGCATCTATTTTAAAGAATCCCTGACACACGTGATCCCTTGGTGGATCCAGTACGCTTGAAAGGGTTGTTATTCGCCATATGATTTGTATTTTGTATTCTTTATATATATATATATATATATATATATATATATATATATATATATATATATATATATATATATATATATATATATATATATATATTGGTAGCTAATTACGTATTATTCTTCTTTTTATTATTATTATCATTATTATTACTATTATTATTATTATTATTATTATTATTATTATTATTATTATTATTATTATTAGTGGTAGTAGTAGTAGTGGTTGTTGTGGTGGTGTTAGTAGTAATTGTTGTTGTGGTGGTGGTAGTGTTATTATTATTAGTTATTGTTGTTGTTGTGGTGGTGGTCATAACAATAGTAGTTGTAGAATTAGTAGTAGTAGTTACAGAATTAATAAAGTTAAGAAGCTTGAAATTCGTATACACACTGCATGAACGGCATATCAAAGCGAAGGTAGTTCATGCATAGTGTATAATCGATTTTCAACCTTCCTGACTGAGCCCTATAAAATATGAAGCTCAGCTCTTATAATTACAGATAGGTATAACATAATAACGTATTCTAGAATGATTATTGTTACCAGCTACAGCCATTTGCAGTTTATTCAACGAAGAAATGGTATATGCTGATGACGTATGAAAATCCTTCACAACGGCCGGACGAAGGTCAATCATTTTAGGAAAGCTTTAAGCACAAATTGTTACAAAGAGTATATCTTTGTGTTTCATGAAAAAGGATTTAGGTGAAAAACAGATGAAGAATCAAGGAGCTATATGTGTAACTGTCCATTTGTCATAGACTAGCGGACTCCCGGAGATACAACAAAAAGATGTTTCGATAGCATGGAGCTAATGTTATCCACAAACTCTATTACACCATCCGCTCAGTCTTGGTACATTCCAAACAACACACTCCTTTGAATAAGAAGTGCTCAATAATCTATTTTCTAGGGTGTGATAATTGTGGGGGGGAAAAAAAGGACTCGTTTCGGGAGAACACAAGAAGAGTTGAAATAAAGAGCTAAAAATCACTTATACATCAGCAGAGAAACCTTAAAAGCAGTTGGCAAATATTGCAAAGAATCAGGTCATACTCTTTCTTAGGATAACATCACCTCGGCTTGCTCTTTTTCACTTCCTGGAAATAATTTGGAGGGAAAGAAATAGCCGATATTGCTTGTTCAGATGGTAGTAAAATCCATTTTCCCGATTATTTAGTGTACTTTGGAGAAATCCTAGTCCATATCTCGTGCACATGGGAGCAGCCATTTCAATTAGCTGTCTGTTTCCCTAATACCACACCACACAAGATGCAATTTCAGTCGCAGTGGATACTGTTACAAGCCAGAGGTCTTTGCTTTACCGAACGGTGTCAAAACCCTGGCGCGTTTCCCGTTAGAAGTCATAAGTTTACCCCAAATTTTCTATACAACTTCAGCTGTAAGTTGGAAACCCCGACATGTCCATTCTATAACTAAATTTTACTATAATCAATGCAAGAACACATTATTCACAACTTGCCAATTATCCATCAACCGAACATCCAATGTGAACACTTAAACAAATTTTCCAGTGGCTTCCCGTGGTTCAGTGGTTCTTCCAGTGGGGTCCGGGTTCATCCCCATCTAATTATACCAGTCGCCTATCTTATGATAAAATTGCTTTAAACTCATAACAACAACAACCCTTCCGTAAAGCTGTGTTTTGAGATGGTAAACGCTCTAAACTCAGGTTCCAGTGTGGTATTGGTGATAACCCCTTGAAGGTTTATCATCCACTATGATATCTGCGGTTCTCTCACGACTTTTACTGGTGAATCTCCGTGAAAATCTCTGGCTAGAACAAAGAACTTTGATTTTTCATGTATGACATGTAGAATGCTGCAGATGAATGATATTAAAATTGTAGCCATTCTGACCAACAAACAAAGACTTTCTCATTTCTATTCTTTATCTCAAACAATAAGTATTAGCAACAATAATATTAAAACACATTATCAGTCTAAGTGTCAATCTCGACAGTATTCTCTCATTACACCAATATGTCATGAACACGTGCAAAGTTGCGTATCTGGAGCTGAGATGCATCATCTTCATTTGCAATATTCTTTCTACTGGTGCCACAAAAAATACTTGTTTCTTCCTTAGTACTTTCTAGACTTGACTATTGTAATTCGTTTTTATCATATATCATTTTCATATCAATAACTACTACATAAACGTCAGAAAGTTCAAAACAAAGCGGCTAAAATCATCCTTAGAGTACCAAGAACTAAGCACTCTACTGATTACCAAAATATATGTCTGACCTCCCATGTGTACATCCCTTCTAGATACAATTCTCTTCTGACACTTGCTTTCTTACTGTTCAAATTATTGAAAATAAGTTCTACGAACAACGTTCTCTTGCGTATCAGAACATAGCTACCTAGTACAAATTGCCTCTTGAACATAGATACAATGACACTGTGCTATCATCCGGAAGTGCTCTGAAAACTTACCTATTTGGACATCAAGAAGACTCAAAATTTAGCAATTATTCTTTTCTCTCAATTAGTTTGCACTTCTACATTGCCTTTGCAAATCTTCTCTGATCAAAGTCTTTGCCTCCGTATGGATGAGACGACGGCAGATGGAGAGATTTTTTTATCTTCTCTAGATTTAGGGACAATGCTAAAAATGTTTCAGTGGTAACTTGAGGTAATCTTTGTAGCATTTCTTCTGACAACCCTGAGATCACGACCACTTTCCCTGTGAAAGATCTCTT